TATATATAAAACCCTGAAAGAGAAAAATTTTCAACTGAGAATTATATACCTGGCAAAACTGTCCCTCAAATATGATGGTGAAATTAGGAGATTTCTAGATAAGCAGAAACTAAGGGAATTTGTTAAAACCAGACCAACCTTACAAGAGATACTAAGGGAACCCTTTGAACAGAGAACCAAAAATAGCAAACAACAACAGACAATTAATACACAAGATGACATAACACAGAAACCACAGCTATGGACATATCCAAAGTAAAATAAGCTTACAAGACTGTAAACAGGGAACCAGAGACATGAATTGGCAAGTGAGGACAACTACAAACCAAAAAGAAGGAAAATACTGTGTAGTTACAGAACTTCTAAATGGTGAAGTCAAGACAGTTGCAAGATAGGATGGACTGTTCTAAATCTCAGGGAGAAAATTATAAATCACAGAGTAACCTCAAAGAAAAATGATAAACCTGCATATCACAATAAAAAAGAGGACAAGCACAAATATTCAGCAAATACTAAAACAATAGCAACAAGGGAAATGATAACACGATTCATAAACATAATGAGCTCAGCACAGAAAATAATATGCAACAAAGAAACCAGAGACACCATGAAAAAACACATAACAAAATGACAGAACCAATGCGTACTTGTCAATAATAAAAGAAATTGGAAAGCATTTGTTCCCAGTTTTGGGGAGATAGCCTCTAAACCCTTGGAACTTCCTGAAGGATCAAAGCCACATTCATGATGGACCACATTTGATCAATATGCAAGGAGATGGGCTGACCTAACCATGCAATTACAGGCTTGGAGCTTTGAGCTAGGTGTTATCAGTCCAAACCCTGGGAAAGAGGCTGGAGATTGAGTTCAACCATGAGGCCATACCTATGTGTTGAAGCCTCAATTAAAACCCCAGACACTAAGGCTCTAGGGAACTTCTCTGATTTATAACATTTTGCATATTGTCACCCATGAATGTCCTGAAAGGGTGATGTGTCTTGACTCCACAGGCAGAGGACAACAGAAGCTTCATGTTTGGGACTCTCCCAGACCTCCCTTATGCATCTTTTCCTTTGGCTGGTTCTAATTTGTGTCCCTTTGCTATCATAAAACTGTAAGTTTAATGCTTTCAGAGAATCCTGTGAGTTGTTCTAATGAATTATCAAACCTAAGGGAGTGCGAAAATCTCTGATTTTGTAGCCAGCTGGTGAGGATGGCCTGAAGACCCTAAGCTTGTAAATGGTCTCTGAAGTGAGGGGAGTCTTGCAGAGGACCTGTGCCCCTATCTTGTGAAGTCTGGATTAACTCCAGGCAGCTGGTTTTAGAAGTCATTGTAATTCTCCTACAAAAGAACTATTTTTGAATAGTTTGAATAGAAATATTTTTGAAAACAGAAGAGCACTCAACAGGATATAACCAAAGCCAGGAAATGCCTTTGGATAAGCCTGTTATACTTGGGCAGTAGGCCAAAGTATGCCCACCCCATCTTCCATATTAAAAGCAAAGACTGAGTAGTATCAGTTTATGGGAAATGGGCAATTACATAAAATAATGTCAGAACCAAAATTGCTTTTAAAATGTGAGCTTTTGACATTTAAAGGATTTCATTCCAAATTCTCAATTATATAATTACAAAAAAAAAAAAAAAAAAGTTTCAGGAAAACATACTTATTTTAACATAAAATTCATGTCACTTATCACAAACTTAGACAGTAAAATTTATAAAGGAGAAACAAAACAGAGACAGTATTTACAAATTTAGACTACATGAGACATTGTGAAGAATTTTGTGTTAGTAAACAATACACTACATACTTTTACACACTACATTTCAAAAACGATGCATATGGAAATGATACAAGTTGGTAGTACTGAAGACTTTAATTTCAAGGTCAAGGTTGTAGTCATGAAGACTTTAAATTCAAGATTGCAGTGATAAAGACTTTAAATTCAAGGTCTTAATGATAAAGACTTTAAATTCAAGAACAGATTGTCTAAGAAAGGGCAGACCACTAGCATTCAAGTTATTTAGTCAATAGTTTCCTGTGAGTACAAAATATATAGGAATCACTACATGGATTGGCCTAATTACAAATTGTATTCATTTCTAAATAACTCACAACTGCAAGAAGTCTTTTCATAGAATTATTCAGTTACATAGTTTTTCTCTATCCATGTATAGTATTTCTGCTATATTTTAAATCCTTATTCAAAACAATTCCCTCCCCATTTCTGTATTTTCATAAGTATAAAATATTTTAAAACAAAGAACTGCCTGTTCCTTAGCTAGAGAACTATTCCGCCATTAAATTCTGGATGAGAAAAAAAGATTTCCATTTGCTCCTATACCTCGAAAACACAAGGCAAACGAAAACAATCCAATTCCTAATGTACTGTCGCATAGAACTCAGGGCCTGGAACAATATTTCATGCTAGTTTTCCTGCTATATGCTGAGGATGATTTAGTTATTTACATTATTGGGCGACTGATTTGACAGACTGGAGTTATCCCAGTGCTTCCATAAGCCTTGCTAAAAAAGGCGTGAGCAGCGACGTCGGCGAATGGGAACATCGAAGACTCTCCTCCGCCTCTCCTCCTCATCTTCCTCATCTGATTCATCCATATCTGCCGAATCATCGTCTTCTTCCTCCTCCTCTTCCTCTTCCTCTTCCATCTCTTCATATTCATCAGGACCCATTTCCTTGAAAGAAAATGTAATCTTTTGATAAAAGGAATTTCCATCTTAGTTTTTTATACTTAGTATTTAACATAAATTTCATTTATTTTGAATCCAAATAGCCAGACATACCAAATACACAGTTTCATAAACTTGAACAATGTTTTCGTAATGCACATGCTGATGCAAGATCCTAGAGTAAATTCTGCATCAAATGTTAATGCCCAGCATGGTTTAAATGGTAATGGTTTATATTGGTAATGGTTTATATTTCATTAATACAGTGGGTTTTTTTTCCCTACAGTAGTTGATAATTTTTGTGAAGTAGCAAACAGACTACTCCTAACCACCCAACATAAAGTTTTACTGAACTTATTATATTAATGTTTAAATAATAACTCTAACAATCCATATGCTTCAGGAAAAGAGAATGTGAAAATATTGATCAGGTATGACCTTTACTAGTAACTTTTATGTAGTGTCAGCAAGAGGTTAAAAAGATTTTTATTGTGCTCCTACTGTAAAGAAGGAAGCTCTAGGGGCATAGTGCCTAAAGCATTTGACTGCTAACCAGAGGGCTGGCGGTTCAAACCTACCAGCCACTCCTCAGAAGGAAGATTAGGCAATCTACTTCCATAGTGATACTGACTCAGAAACCCAAGGAGGGGTTGCTATGAATCGGATCTGACTCGGACAGCGTTGAGTTTGGTTTTGGTTTGACCGTAAAGAAATCTCATTTCAATTTAACTACTATTGGCAGCCTCTCAGAGTAGAATAGTAGTGGCAACACTTTTAATTCCTGCTTCCTAATAGCACAGATCTGGATATCTGTGTTATCTGCCATAAGAAAACTGGTGCCATTATTTTTCAGCTGAGGATTCTTTCTTTAAGAAAGGCACAGAGACAAGAGTAGATTTTTGGCTGCCAGGGGATAAGGGGAGAGAGGAATGGGAAGTTAATGCTTTAAAAAAAAAAAAGAAAGAAAGAAAAGAAAAAGTGAGGGAAAAAAGGGGGAACTGACTGTGAGAGGAAACAAAAAAGAATAAAGTAAAAGTTTTTCAAGAGATGAGTAAGATTATTTCTAGCAAAGGAACTTGTGGAAAAAGAGGGAAAAAATGAAGTTCAATATTTGAATAAAATATGTTTAGAAAATAAAATTCCTGGGTGACAACTCCAGATTATTTTTACTATTTCAGGGCTATAAAATACACAAGGCTGTATGCTCAAAAAATAATAAATAAATCTGGGTAGGCTTTTTGTGGGGTAGACAATGACCAGCTAATTATAAGTTTATATGGAAAAGCAAAAGATCTAAAATAGTCAAAGAAATTTCAAAAAAGAAAAAAGTAGGTCTTGTACTAACCAATTTCAAGGCTTACTATATAAAGTTATAGTAAACAAAACAGGGTGGTATTCATCTAAGGACAAACATATAGATAAATGTAACAATATAGAGTTCAACAGTAGTCCCACACATACATGGTCAACTGACTTATAACAAAGATACTACAGTAGTTGAATAGGGGAAAGGGCAGTCTTTTCAACACATGCAAAAAAAAAATTTGAACATGTAAGGGCTCATGTATGTAAATAAAATAACGAAAACCATACAACTGCTCTCAAGAAAATATAGGACAATGTCTTGTGACCTTAGGGTAGGTAAAGATTTTCTGCTGTTGGGTGCTGAGTCACCCAAGACTAATAGTGACCCTAAGTACAACAAAACAAAACACTGCCTGGTCCTGTGTCATCTTTACAATATTCGCTAAGCTTAAGCCTATCATTAGGACCTCTGGTAGCATAGTGCCTAAAGGCACTTGCCTGCTAACCAGAAGGCTGGTGGTTCAAACCCACCAGCCACTTCTCGGAAGGAAGATGGGGCAATCTACTCCCGTAGTGATACTGCCTCAGAAACCCAAGGAGGGGTCATTGTGAGTCGGGTCTGACTCGACAGCACACAACAACAACAACAACAAGCCTATCATTGCAGCCACTATTTCAGTCCATTTCGTTGAAGGCTCTCCTCTTTACCAAACATGATATCCTTCTCCAGGGACTGGTCCCTTCTGACAACATGACCAAAATAGTTGAGACAAGCCTGGCCATTCTCACTTCTAAGGAGCATTCTGGCTGCACTTCTCCCAGGACAGATTGTTCATTCTTCTGGCAGTTCATGCCATCTTCAGTATTCTTCAGCAATACCACAATTCAAAGGCATCAATTCTTCTTCAGTCTTCCTTATTCACTGTCCAGCTTTCACATGCATATGAGGCAATTAATGTCTTCAAAGTGACATCTTTCCTCTTTAACACTTTAAAGAGGTCTTTTGCAGCAGATTTGCCCAATGAAATATGGTATCTGATATCTTGACTACTGCTTCCATGAGTGTTGATTGTGGACCAGGTAAAATGAAATCATCAATGAAGAAATGAAATCTTTTTTCCATTTATCATGTTGTTTAATGGTCCACTTGTGAGGATTTTTGTTTTCTTTACGTTGAGATGTAATCCATACCAAAGACAGTACTTTTTGATTTTCATGTGTAAGTGCTTCAAGTCATCTTCATTTTCAACAAGCAAGGTTGTGTCATCTGCTTATCACAGGTTGTCAATGAGATGCTGTGTTCTTAATATAATCTAGCTTCTCAGATTATTTGCTTGGCATACAGATTGAATAAGTATGGCTGCTAAAGAGGCAAGGAGGCAGCATCTTCTGACCTCCTCTAACTCCACAAAAGGAAGACATATTCACCATCAGCAGCCCATAGCCTGCTCCTACGAGGCCAGACATGTTGCCAGCCTCCAGCCCTCTTACTAACCTTGACACAAACCATCCCTCCCATGGCACCCACCTCCTCTCTGCTGGGCTCGATAATTCGCTGCAGTTGCTACACAGGACTCACAGATTATGGGATTTATTAGAGAAGCAACAGGCTACAATTCAAGCAGAGACACATGCTCAGTTCCTCTCAGCCAGCCGTCTCTCTCAGCTGGCCATCTCTCTCAGTAGCACGACTCTGGCTCTGCAGTGCATCTTTCAGTAGTGTGTCTCTCAGCAGCACGTCTCCCTCAGCTGGCAGAGAGACATTCCTTCTGCCTCTAGAAGGGCTCATTTTGAGCCTGGCAAAGTAGCAAAACTAACCTAATCCCAACATCAGAATTCTACACACCTGGGAGACAGCGAACTTCCCAGAAGATTGCTTCATGCTGCTCCAACAGAAATACGCCAGGTAGATCACTTTAACAATCAGCTACTCAGTTCCTTATGGAAAAGTGGAAGTTACAGAGTATTGCTAGAAAAGCCATACCATGTAGTTTACTATACCACAATGGTGAAAGGATACAACCCTGACACACCCTTCCTGGTTTTTTAATTTTTATTTTTTATTGTGCTTTGGGTGCAAATTTACAGAGCAGAATTTGTTTTACATTCAACAGTTCATGTACATTTGGTTTCACTCTCCAATTACCATCCCCAATCCTAACCCACTCTCCTCCTCACCCTTCCTTGTGACATCCCCATTTCTGTTCCCTTCTTAGTTATGCACTCCTGTCTGTTCAGCTTTCCCTCCATGTGAATGCTGCCCCTATGGTACCCCATGCCTGATTGTTCCAAGGGGTATATCTCCATAGAGTAGGTGGGTGCATCCCCTGGGTTGGGTGTTTTGTATGTAAGTCTTTCTACTGTTAATACCCTTCCTGATTTTAAATCATGCATTATCCCCTTGTTTTGTTCAAAGGATAGCCTCTTGGTATGCACCGGTTCCTCATGAACACAATTAAGTGTTCTGGAACTCCCATTCTTCTCAGTATTATCCATAATTTATTATGATCTGCACAGTTGAATACCTCTGCACAGTCAGTAAAACACAGGTGAACATCTTTTTGGTATTCTTTGCTTCAGCCAAGATCCATCTAACATCAGCAATGATATCTATCCCTCATTCCATGTCCTGCTCTGAATCCAGCTTGAATTTCTGGAAGTTCCCTGTCAATACACTGCTGCAACCATTTTTTAATTATCTACAGCAAAATTTTGTGATCTATTTCTTATATAGGACATAAAAAAAACAAAACAAAATACTATTAGGGCAAAAATTGATGTAATGGACTCATCAAAAACACTTATGTTCTTCAAAAGACACCATTAAGAAAATGAAAAGCCAAGGTACAGACTGGGAGAAAATATTCACATTCACAATACATGTATTTGATAGAGGATTTGTATCTAGACTGTATAAATCACTTAAAATGCAAGCAACTCATTTTTTGAATGGACAAAAAAATTTGAGGAGACACTTCATAGAAGATAATGGAATGGTCAATAAGCACGTATTAAATGAATGGAAAAAAGTTCAGTTGAGTATTTTTTATATCTGAGTTCAAGAGTTTACAAGGTCAGGAGAGAGAAAATCTGACAAAATAGCAATCTCTGTAGGGAAAAACATCACCTTGGGCTTATCAGATCACAAAGTCAACATAAACCAAAATAATGTCCTGACTACCAAAAAAAAAAAAAAAAAAGCAAATTGTATACAAGTCACATTAACATAGACACATCAAGGAAGAACACTGCTCTGAATTCTGTACTATTCAGACCTCCTCTATACCATTATGTTCATGTCTGAGCAACAGAATTTTAGAGAACAATGATAAACTGAAACATGTCTAAAGAGAGTGGCCAGGGTCTACAACACAGGAACAACTGAATAAGTATTTAGGTATAGCTGAGAAAGTAACGGTGAGGAAGAGGAGAGAAACTTCAACTGATCTTCAAAAAATGAAAGGGTTTCAAATGAAAGAAGGATTATGCTTATTTTGCACAGATAGCATACCTTTTTTTGGCAAAACTTTTCTATAAAGGTCCAGATAGTAAATACTTTTGCCTTTGTGAGCAATTACAGTCTCTGTTCCAACTACTCAATTCTGCTGTTGCAGTACAAAAGCAGCCAGGGAATATATGAAAACTAATGGGCATTGTATATTCCAATAAAACTTTATTTACAAAAGCAGCCAGCAGGCTGGATTTGGCCAGTGGGCCATAATTTGTTGACCACTCGTTTAAACCAACACACAGAGAGAGGTAAATTTTGGTTCACTATAAGAAACAATCTTTTAATAGTTAGGGTTAGTCAAAAATGGAGAGCTGTTATAGAAAATAGATAATTTCCAGTACTAGTTGTATACAGTAGAAAGCATTCCTCCACTGGGAGGGAAGCTAAACTTCACTTCCCAAACCCAGACATGCCACAAGTATAATGGCCTAAAGATTCATCATCATCCTTCTCATTTCATACTGGAGTTGGGAATGTGTCAGCTCTACGTCAGATTAATATCATGTTCATGTTCCCAGACTTAGTTTAGACTACTCAACAGGGTCATCCCAGGAGCCAGAGGGCATTTTCTGAACATACTACAATTACTTCTTAATTACATTCTAAGTATAAAAGTCATATTTTATTCCTATTGTATAACTAGAGATTCATAATTTCAATAATTTTCTAGCTCGTAAGATTGGGGTTTACTTTTCAACAACAAAAAAATAAAATAAACTATATAAAAAACCAAAAACAGATTGAGGTTTACTATTAAACCTGTCACAAGGTGACCCTAAAAACAAGGATTTGAAAACATACCTACTTAAGAAATGAACCCAGAGACAGACTGATAAAAGTACAAGTCCATCCATTAAATCATCTTTGTAATGATCTCCACAGGATATTTGTATTATTTTACTAATTGGGAGTTTTAAAATGAAGACACTCGAAGAAATTGGTTTCTTAATGAAATAAAATAGATGTGATTCTAACTGGTCTAGTGTAGTGCTTCTTATACTATAGAACAGTTTTTGAAGCAGTGAAAAAGAAGTTGATGCTTTATAAAAAATCATAGTACAGCTGCTCTGGTTGAAGCGTATGGAGCCCAGCCTATGTGTCCACCTCCCCAGCATATTTACAGGGGCCCACAAGACACATCCTCAGAATCTCTAGTATTTTCTAGAACATGATTTATAAACCACTTGTCTGCTCAGTCGACAAAGACCCTCTGTAGAGTTAATCCTGAAAAGTCAGGTAAATCAGCTTCCAGAGGAAAACTTAACTTACCAATCGGGCTATAGATACCCTAAATGTAGGACATGCCATATGGAATCGGGGAATAGCGACATTAAAGATCTTGTCTTTAAAGTAAAGAAAATGGAAGGTATAATAACCTTCCATATATCCTGATGTTGTAGAGAATGTGGTACAACTTGTGTATTCATATACCCGACCAGGGCTGATGATCGGAAATTCACCTGTAGAAACAATGGTAACAATTAACCAAAGTCTAAAATTCAGTTTTTATTTACCATAAATAAGGGGTTTTCTATGTCCTTTATAGGATTATGTAAACTACGCAAAAGCATATGCCCTATTAGAAAGTAAATTTAATAAAATGTCAACACTGTTGGGATTGTAATATATTCCTCTTGAGATATATATATATATATATATATATATATATATATATATATACACACACACACATATATATATATAAGATACACACACACACACATATATATTTTTTTCCCCCATAGTTTCAACAATATAGGAGGGGGATCTAGTAAAAACAAAAAAGGGCACATTGTCTTTTTCAAAACGCTTTGAGGCAATGAAGATACCATCTTTAAAACATGAATAATAAAAAGTGTCACAGTCAGGCACTAGTTCAAACAGAGATAAGGGTTATCTAAGTGTTTAACAGTAGCAAGAGACTCAAACATGAAGTTCTGAATATTTATCTTAAACATCCAGCCCAGCAGTCACAGGGAGGAGTCCAAAAGACCAAATGACAGGAAAAGAATAAGCTTTAAAAAAATTCCTTAGCACTAGGCCTCAAATTATTACACAAACATGTAGAACATGAATGTATTCATGTCAATGAATTAATCATAAACTTAATCATAAATTTAAAAAGCTGGATGTTAATGGTAATCACAGCTGAAGCTGACTAAAATCTGCAAGCAATAAAAGTCTACGCTATTAACGTTAACATTTATCTCCAGACTTCATAAAATGGATCAGTGTAAAATTTATTTTTTCTTTCTGCCCTATGCCTACTAATTTTATAGACTATGATAATGAGTATTTAACCAGATGTTGCTGTTGTTGCTGGGTTCCTTTCAGTCACCTCCAACATATAGCTACACTATGTACAACAGAACAAAACACAGATAAAGAAAATAAAGAACCTAAGGAGATAAGGAGAAAAGCAAGGTAACTAGGTAATCTACAGAATGTAAAATCAACCCTTGAATAATTGAGTTTGCCCTCATTTTAGAAAAATTAATGTTTAAGGGAGTAAATTGATAGAATAATGACTTTTATACATTATATTTATTAAACAATATTCATTGTAATTGGGAGCTCTGGTAGCATAGTGCCTAAGGCACTTGACTGCTAACCAGAAGGCTGGCAGTTCAAACCCACCAGCCACTCCTCGGAAGGAAGACGAGGCAATCTACTTCCATAGTGATACTGCCTCGGAAACCCAAGGAGGGGTCTGACTGGATGGCACATAACAACAACAACAACATTCATTGTAATTAGGAAACACCCAGAGTCTGTGATATCTTTCATATGTAGAATCTAGCTACTAAAAACACAGTCTTATCCATTAACTGCATCATGCATTCTCCATGCTGAGTGTCACATATGTACTCTTCAAAATTTCTTAGAAACAACTGATATATAAGCCTAAATCTAAGTTACATACCCACAACTCCAGGTCCTTGAACTTCTTCTACATCACCTTTAGCATTTGTTATTCTCCAATAGCGACTGTCCAACTGACAAGCCTTCTCAGGAAGTGCATCCTTTGACATTTCAATCCTGGTGAGAAGAATGGGGTGATGAAAACATAAATCTGGCATTGTTGTTTTAAGAGTTACAGTATCCAGGCTTAAACTATGGGAAGAATTTCTAAAGGAAATTAAGAAACCCAAAGCCAAAGTCTATGTTAACCATTTATTCCTATAAATTCTTAAATTCTGCAAAAAAAAATTCCTAATCAGCCTGATCCCCCAAAGAACTGCTTTCACTTAATTTTGTACACTCAACTTTCAGTGAGGCTCAACAACATAAAGGAGAACATAAAAACTCACAAACACAATGGTGACAATAATCTTTTGCTGTTCAAATAAAGATCAATCTGACAAAGTCCTTTTAGACTATTATGCCATGAAACACTTCGAAAGGACTCTTTCTTTCATTACAAGGCTGTGCAACCCATTTCCTTTTTTTCCATTAACTGATAGAAAGTTCACAGCAAAATGCCACCATTTAGTTACTGGATTTATACCTTGACTCTACTTCCCAATAATAGAGAAATACACCCAGAGGCTGTATCACATTTTTAAATGAAAGGTGATCCCATTTAAAATTCTCACCTGATTCGGTATGTGAAGAAATAATGGGGAGGATGTACAGAGCTAAGTTCTGGCAGAAACGATGTGGAAACTGAAACTGTAATATCCCCAGTTGTTGCTACACATTCTGGATCGTGAACATATCTAGGTAATTAAACAATTAAAATATTTTTAATTAATTAATTTCAATTATATAAAAGTTTTAAAGATACAATGCAAAATAGCTTATGCTATAAGATCAAAAATTTAAATCACATTAAATTATGGTTTAGAACTTAAAGGTATAAGTCCTATTGAGTTTAGGAAAAAAATCAGAAATTATAAACTAAGTAGTAAACTTTGGTGACTCTGGATCAGTAATGATAATAGTTGAAGGTTCAATGATCAATAGTTCAAATTAGTGTGGAAAGTAAAATAGTAGGTTTTTAGAGCAAGGGAAACTTTTGTGACATCCAAAAACCCAAATACACTATAAATTGCGGTTCTGACAAGAGAAAGTTATGTTAGTATTTTGCTCCTAGAGAACTAAAATGTGTAATTAATCTATTGTTCTTACAAATCCAGGTGCTGTGAATCAATTTTACCTCTAACATTATCTATAATACCAGAATGTTCTCTTTGGAGATAGTAACTAATTGTTACTAGGAGTGAATAGTTACTAAGTGGCTATTCATAGTAAATCTACTAATTGACAAAGTCCCCCATCCCCTCATATTCCACTCAAGTAAACAATGTAGCTACAATAAAGCCACAGTTTCTAAATCAAAATCTGTTATTTTTTTCTTGATTTTTTAAGAAAAATATTGGTTGTTTAAGTGTTTGGGTATTTCTGCTTTAAAATATGGATAAAATAGTGAGATTGAAGATAATCACAGACAGGTTGTATTATTATCACGCTTCTTGAGAAACTTCATCTCAAGATCTGAGACTTTTTTCTGATTTATAATGGTCTCAACCTAAAAAGCCCCAAATGAAATACCTGAAAATTTGGTCTCTGATGATTGGGAAACCACCTGATACAACATTGTTGACATAAGAGGTAAACCAGTCAGTAAAAGTAGCACCTAAAAACCAGGAAGGAAAAAAGTAAAAGAAAAAGAAAAATCATTTTTGTAAAATACAGCAAACAATTTATAATTTCTCTCTACTTAAAATGTGGGACTAAACCTGGAAATATTTAAAGATACATAATTCTACCAGTCCTTTATCAGGTCAATTTCTATTCCAATTCTATCTACATTTATTCCCTTGGTATTCAGTTGCTAAACAAAAGGCTGGAGGTTGGAATCCACCCCAAGGTGCCTTGGAAGAAAGCATGGCAATCTACTTTTGAAAATTCAGCCAGTGACAATCCTATGGAGCACAGTTCCACCCTGATGCATACATGGCATCACCATGAATCAGAACTAACTCAACAGAAAATGCAGAGGAAGAGATCAGTCAGGGTGATTAGGTCTCAGTTTAAAAGCTTTTGATAACTTGGTAGGGTGAGGTCGTCTTGTAGGATACCGCAACCTGGAATAAGCCATAGCAGGGAACAAGTGGAGAATGAGTTCTGTTCAAGATTCCAATTAGGAGGTAGAATTGAACAGATCCCTTAGCCTGCAAGGCACCGTAATTATCAATATATAGGCATGTTTAATATGTGCCTGAAATACCTTTAAAAAGCAGAATGCAGTGTCAGGAAGCTTCTCTCAAGTGAGCAAAATCCAAGCAAAACAACACTGAACGAATAGCAAAGGGGTGAGCTGCACCTGCATACTAACTGAAGGGTTCTCAAAAACCTGTAAGACATACCCTTTTAAAGCTAAGAAAAATGAAGTGTGTCAGAGTTTATGAAGCACACAGCTTATACTGGTCTCTGAAGACTGCTGCTTCATGTGAGGTCCCTTACATGACATGTCAGTATCTTACTATATGGCATTGGCCTCAAAAGAGAAAGAATAGAGTTGTTTTCTATATATCTTTATCTCTAGATTATACATTAATCTGATAGAAAATCCAAGTGCATGTGAAGGGAACATATACCTATGCACGGCGATCCATACATTTCACTGTTCTACATCAGTGTCCTAAGAGTCTACGATTGCACAGGACATGGCTTTTTCCAAATAGAAACAAAATTCAAATAAAGTACAAGTGCTGTTACAATGAGACCCAGACGTATTACTTCATCAACAATGAGTCTTCAGAAGTACAAGAATAAAATTGCCAGCTGCTCAAGTAACTGGTAAAGATTTTTTTTTTCACCAACTTAATTTTTCTGACTAGGAGAAAAAAGGAAAAGATGTTTCCTTCTCTTACCTATGATAAACATGTCAATAGCAGCTGGATTCCGAGCTATTTGGTCCTAAGTGGGAAAAAGAACGTTATAATTGATAAAAGCAGTTTACTTAATTTCTCAATGCTCCTTATCTGTATCCTTCAAAAACTAGACAAAGCAAAACAGACAAAAATAAAAATACCTTAGTGCTCCAACCAATACCAGGACATTCCTCACACTTTTCAGTCCCTGCTCTTATGAATTCTTTATTTGGGCTCTCACTATAAATCCTTTGGAATGATAGTTAAAATGCTAAAATAGAGTTATTAACTGTTATAATGAACTAAGAAATTATCCTTCATGAAAACAATTAGAAAGTTATGGTGAGAAGATACATGGCTTGTTATCCTAGAAGAAAAGGCTTTCTAGAAAATGCCAGGTTAGTCACTTCTCTCAGTAAATGAACCGACCAGCCACTACCCTGCCATCCTTAAAGATGTGTCAAGTCAAAAATGAGTTAGAAGATGTGAAAATGCTTAGGAAAAAACTTAAAAAGTTACATAGTTGCTTTAAATACTTCAACTGTTACATGGAGTCACATGTCTCAGATAACTAAGAAAACCATTTTCTATCCTAAAAAATCTTGTTTTGAGTCAAAATTCACATCTAGGCAAAAATGAAGGCAGAGGCTCTATGACTTAAGCATTACTGAGGATAGCTGAAGAAAAAAAAAATGAAACCAAGTACTGGAATATTTTCTGTTGTTACATTAAACATAACAAATACTTCTGTAAAAGAACTACATTTTTTTAGACAACTCAAATACCTACTAAAAAGAGAGTTTAAAAAGTTTTTAGTATACTCTGAACTTGAATCAAAGGATGTTCAAAATCTAAATTAAAAAAAAAATTAGAAAAGTATAATATAGTAAATTACTTCAACAAAAGGCTCATTGGTTTTTCCTTAAACATGTTTAATAGAAACCACTGCTTTCCCTCTGTATATCCTATTGTTGTTGTTGTTGTTGTTTGCCGTCGAGTCGGCCCCAACTCATAGCGACCCCTCCTTGGGTTTCCGAGGCAGTATCACTACGGAAGTAGGATTGCTCAACCTTCCTTCCGAGGAGTGGCTGGTGGGTTTGAACCGCCAGCCTTCTGGTTAGCAGTCAAGTGCTTTTAGCCACTATGCTACCAGAGCTACTATGTTGTTGTTGTTGTTGTTATGTGCCGTCGAGTCGGCCCCGACTCATAGCGACCCCTCCTTGGGTTTCCGAGGCAGTATCACTACGGAAGTAGGATTGCCCAACCTTCCTTCCGAGAGCTACTATAGTTTGTATTATTTATCCACTGGTAAAATTTTCTTTTGGCATTTTATACTATGTCAGCCTTCTAATTATTATAGGTCTGTGATAAACTGCATAAGGCCCTATGCTCATTCTAGAACATGAAATATCTAATGCACACACACTTATACAATCATTGTAATATATCTTAAAGCCACGCTTGAACACACTTTTTACTTACTGGACACTGGTAGAAAACTTCATTTTTGTTTCGGCCTTCTGCAGCTTCCACTGCTATGTACTGACTCAAACCAGTGTGTATGCAAAAAGTTAAAGGGAGACAATATTTCAATCCCTGTCTCTGCTGGAATCCTCCAGCAGCTGTGTCGACGTCTAACAAATCCTCAGAACGATAGTGATTAGACAGTGCCATACTTCCCAACAACCTGAAAATACAAACACAAACATTTAATAAATTGTAGTACCAAACAAACAGCTATGACTTTTTTTGTAAAAAAATTGTGATTTGGGTGAAAATATACAAATTTGGGTGAAAATACATAAATTTGGGTGAAATTTACCAAATAAATTTAACTTTGATTTTGACACAACCTTTGGCTTACTCTCTCCCAACTGGGTAGTAGTGTCCAAATTTTCATAAATTCTGAATGCCTGGAGTTTAACCTAATCTCACTGCATATACATGATAACAACAGAGGCCTCCAGCTCTTCCTGTCCCTTGATGAGATACCCATCCTAAGTCTCATTGCCTGAGCTGCGTATACATAAAAATCCTTGTGTTAAAATTCATGAACTATTTTCTAGGTCAGTTTTGAGCAACTTTTTTTTTTAAAAAAAAACAAAGTTCTCTCCTATTTATTCTTGAAATATGACAATTTTTCAACTTTGTCATGATTCAGTCATGAAAACGGGGAAAAAAGTAACTTAGGCTTATCCAGTCTTAACTGAGCAAATCTGACAGTAATTGCATGATCTGTTTTTACCAACATGTTCCACAATAAATACTTGATCTTTAAGAAGTAGTTAAAAGGGACCACTCAATTATAGGCTATACGAGAATAAAATAAAATTTAACTTTCTTTTGTTTATTGTACATAGTTCTGATCAAATTATTGCTTTTAGTGTGTATGATACACAGAATTTCCATCAAGCTCCCCAAAACAATTTACATCACCTATAATAACATTTCAAGGATTCTCAATGATTTTAGTTAGCATATACTCACACACACATCTACCCTATGTCCACAGCCTCCATTTCCAACCAGACTTCATTTTGACTACAGAAAGTCCCTGGGTTAAGAACAAGTCCTATTCCTAAGTGTGCCTTTAAGTGGAATTTGTAGGTAAGTAGGACCTAGCATATATGGTTCTTACTTAGCCTTACTTCAATGCAAGAAGGAGCTCTAGTGGTATAGTACTTAAAGCAATCAGCTACTAACTAAAAGGTTGGTATTCAAACCCATCAGCCACTCATCAGGAGAAAGATGAGGTGGTCTGCTTCCATAAAGATTTACAGCTTGAAACTCTATGGGGCAGTTCTATTCTGTCCTATCGCTATGAGTTAGAATCAACTCAATGGCAGTGGGTTTGCTTCATGCAAGAAAAGGCTCAAAGCCTGGTTTAGAGATGCAAAGCTGCATGTACTGCAACCAATAAAAAAAAAACCAAAAAACCACCAAACTCACTGCCCTCGAGTCAGATCTGACCCCCGGGTTTCTGAGGCAGTATCTCTATGGAAGTAGATTGCCCAACCTTCCTTCTGAGGAGTGACTGGTGGGTTTAAACCAGGTAATTGTGTTCAATCATTTCAAAGTAAGGGCAATTTTACATAAAATTAAAGGGCAAGTAGGAGTTGTCCAAAAGTAGGACATTTATAACCCTGGACTGCTTGTATAAGAATGTGTTGGTAGAAATGATATTTTCATGAGATATTAATTTTTGTAAAATCAAATTCTATGTATAGAATTTTATAGAGAGAATAGAGTTATATATTCTGTCTTATGGACTACTATAAAAAGGAAGAGGGAATTCCTATATTCCTTCAATTTGTTTAGGGTAACTATAAGTAGAATTGTTTACTTTCATTCTAGAAATTAACTTGCATTGTTAAAATAACCAAAGCTAGAACCATCTTACCCAGGAACCACTAGCTTCTGCCCGTTATGGATGCGATACGAGCATCGATAATCATCAGGAAGCTTGCAACCGATCTGAGCTTCCACAGCATCCAGGTCTTCCTCTCGAGCCCCTTCTGCAAACACACACAAAAACCCAACTGTGAGGAAAAAATAAGCATTAAATCTAAGAAGAAATACTATCTACCTACTAACCAATGAAACAATCTTAGAGCAAGTGAATTCTGTCCAAGACATACTGCTGAAAAAGAGAAATGAATTGAAAATTCAGAGGAACATTGTATCTCTTTAGATTGGCTTTGCTAATTGAAGTCCTAAGCAAGCAAATTCCCCAGTTTCCTCTCAACAAGTAAAACGCTGGCACTAAGTATGAAAAGATGGCATCAATGAGTTCCATGATTATTATTTTTTTCACATTATAAGGCAAACTTTACATTAGGTCTAATTTTATTAAATTTAATATACTCATACTTCATTGTTTATTAAAACAACCTGATGACTTCCAGTTCTCTGCCCTGATGTTGCTCGAGAATCTTAATGTGAACTATAGGACATAGAGTGTAAGTTCCTGCTGTGAGAAGGCTGTTGACCTGGATTCTATTTTGCATGTTTATAAGCTTGCCATACAGTTTGCTTTAAAAAGCAGGAAGCAATTAAAAATACCGAGAGACGAGACCCACTTCCAGCAATTGCCTACCAGGCCTGACAGCCACCAATCCTCCTGGTGAAAACAACTAGAAAAGCTGAACAACAACAAAAAACTGGTTTGAACTGTCTGTAGAACTACCAAAGCAGTGAGAACTGGGAAGGATCCAGAAAAGGGAAACTGAAAAAGGGAAGCCCAGCATCCGGAGCATCCTGGTCCTTGAGGCAACTACAAACTCAGAAAGCAACTGTGAGACTGAGGAGCTGAAAAGCTGAGCTCTCAGCAACACCACAGGCTAGAGCAGGAGCTCTGGTAGCGTAGTGCCTAAGGCCCTTGACTGCTAACCAGAAGGCTGGCGGTTCAAACCCACCAGTCACTTCTCGGAAGGAAGATGGGGCTATCTATTTCTGTAGTGATGCTGCCTCGGAAACCCAAGGAGGGGTCACTATAAGTCAGGTCCGACTTGATGGCACACAACAACAACAACAACAGAGGGTAAAAGCTTAGAGTACAGGGTCCACAAAGGAGAAAGGGACCTAATAAAACGTAAGGCTTTTCAGCTGGGATTCTGACAGGATACCCCTAAAATTAAGGGTGAACTGAAAATGGACTAGTCCGGACTAGCCCTTACAAGTTAAAGCTCAACTTCCAATCATATCAAACCCTGATTAGATAAAGGTAATCTGCCCATTAACAAAAAAAACTCAAACCAAACCCACTGCTGTGGAGTCGGATCCGACTCACAGCAACCCCTCCTTGGGTTTCCGAGGTGGTATCACTACAGAAATAGATTGCCCAACTTTCCTTCCAAAAAGTGACTGGGTGGGTTTGAACCACCAGCCTTCTAGATAGCAGTCAAATGCCTTAGGCACTATGCCACCATAGTCCCCACCCATTAACAAGCTGCCAGCCAAAAACAAATCTCTAGAAGAAAATAATACTATCCGGAAACTCAAATTTTTGACTCAAAAGATCTGACTAACGAATAATAGAAGGAGAGCAAAACTATAATACAGCTAAATATTGGATTAAGCAAATATGGACTTTAAAATAACCATGACTGATATACTCCACAAATTAAACGACAAGGTGAAGAGTTCAACAGAGAAATAGAAACTACACTAATAAATGAAAATCTTAGAGCTGAGGAATAACCTGTAAAACCAGTTGCTGTTGAGGCGATTCTACCTCATGTATTGCAGAGTAGAACTGTGCTCCAAAGAGTTTTCAAGGCTGTGACCCTTCAAAAGTAGAACACCAGACCTTTCTTCCGAGGCGCCGCTGGGTAGGTTCAAAGCACCAACCTTACAGTTTTTAGTTAAGCCCTTAGCTGTCTGTGCTACCCAGGGACTCTAAACTGAGGAATACAATGAATAAAATTAAGAATATGTCAGAGGAGTTTAACAGTAAATAAGAGGTTTAAAATTGAAAAGGGAATTATGAACTGGATGCTAGGTCAGGAGACAAAAATGATGAAAAAATACAAAAAAAAGAGTGTAAGACACATCTAGGATACAGTGCAAAAGTCTTAGATACATGTACTGGATTAGAAAGAAAGGGAACATAGAATGGGTCAGCAGCAGTATTTGAAGAAATAATAATAGAGAATTTCCAAAAATTGATGAAAACATCAAACCACATATTGAAGAATCACTATAAACCCCACATAAAACAATTATAAAGAAAATTATATTTAGACCTATTATTGAGAAAACTGCTGAAAATCAAAGACAAAGAGAAATCTTAAAAGCAGCCAGAGGAGAGGAAAAGACACCTACCTACCTTCTAAAAAGCCAAAACCAAACCCACTGCCATTGAGCTGATTCTGACTGATAGCAATCCCATTGGTTTCTAAGGCTGTAACTCTTTATAGAAGTAGATTGCCTCATCTTCCTTCCATGGAGCAGCTGATGGATTTGAACCACCAATCTTCTGGTTAGCAGTAAAATGCCTTCTGCACTGCACCATCAGAGCTCCTTACTTATCTTCTAAGGAATATAAGACTGACAGCTAAATTCGCAATAGAATAATGAAAGTCAGAAAAATGTTATCTTTGAAACCCTAGAAAAAATAATTACTAACTAGAATATCCAGTGAATATATCTTTCAGAAATGAAGATGAAATACTTTCAAAATAAGTAAAATCTGAAAAAACTTACTCAACAGTAATCCCTCACTGAAAGAAATACTAAAAGGAATTGTTCAGGTAGAAGGAGTGATCTCAGATGGAAGCATAAAGACGCAGGAGGGAACGAAGAGCAACAGAAAAGGAAGACAGGCAATTTGAGGTAATATTGAATGGTAACGTTTTCAGGGATTGAAAGAACACTGAAAATTAAAATCACAAAAATTATAATACAAAGGGCAGGAAGGAGGTAACTGGAGTTATAAAGTATACTAAGGTTCTTCCATTGTCCATAAACTAGTATTTTTATACCAATTTACATTGTTGTTGTTGTTGTTGTTGTTATGTGCCGTCCAGTTGGCCCCGACTCAGAGCGACCCCTCCTTGGGTTTCCAAGGCAGTATCACTATGGAAGTAGATTGCCCTATCTTCCTTCCGAGGAGTGGCTGGTGGGTTTGAACCACCAGCCTTCTGGTTAGCAGTCAAGTGCCTTAGACATTAGATTTTAATAAATCAAAGATGCATGTTTAATCCCTAGCTCAAAAACTCACTGCCGTTGAGTCGGATCTGACTCATAGTGACCCCTCCTTGGGTTTCCGAGGCAGTATCACTACGGAAGTCGATTGCCCAATCTGCCTTCTAAGGAGTGGCTGGTGGGTTTGAACCGCCAGCCTTCTGGTTAGCAGTCAAGTGCTTAGGCACTAGACCATCAGAGCTCCCTTAATCCCTAGGGCAATCTAAAAAAAGATAAAAAAAAAAAAAGGGGGAGAATCAAATAAAAAATAATTAAGAAGAATACAAAAATGGAACAACAAATATGACAAATTGGAAAAAAAAAAAAAAAAGACGCACAGTGCATTTAAACTCAACTATGTTGGTAATTACATTAACTATAGACTCAAACCAAAATCTAAACTCACTGCCCCATTGGGTTTGCAAGGCTATAATTTTTTACAGAAGCAGACTGCCCTATCTTTCTTCCATGGAGCAGCTGGTGGGTTTGAACCACCGACCTTCAGGTTAGCAGCCAAATGCTTTAACCACCACACCACCACAGTTCCTTATAAATAGACTAAACAAACTAATTAAAAGATTGACAGACTGTATAAAAAAAAAATCATATACTGCTTGTAAGACATACATCTTAAAAGATACAGATATAGAATAGAAAGCTAGAATAGCTCTAAAATTTGACAAAACAGTCTTTAAGGCAAACATTATTAGAGCTAATGTGAAATTTTTCATAATGATGAAAAGGTTAAATTCAGTAGGCTGATACTAAATATCCTAATAACTAAATACACCTAATAACATAGCATCAAGATATATTTTTCAAAATTTACAAAACTAAAATGGAGAAAGATAAAGCAACAATCATAATGGGTATATTAGTTTTCTATTGCTGCATAACAATTACTATGATCTTAACAACAACAACACTTGACTGCTCACCAGAAGGCTGGCGGTTCAAACCCACCAGCCACTCCTCGGAAGGAAGGTTGGGCAATCCTACTTCCGTAGTGATACTGTCTCGGAAACCCAAGGAGGGGTCGCTATGAGTCGGGGCCGACTCGACGGCAAACAACAACAAAACAACAACAACAAAAAACTTACAGCCATCGAGTCAAATCTGACTCATAGAGACCCTCATTGGGTTTCCAAGATTAAATATTTACAGAAGCGTATTGTCTCATCTTTCTTCTGTGGAGCAACTGGTGGGTTTGAACCACTGACCTTTTGGTTAGCAGCCAAATGTCTTAACTACTACACCAGCATGATCTTAGTGGCTTAAAACAACACGCATTTATTATTTCAGTGTCTGAAACCGGTAAGTCGGGTATGACGACTAAGTCCTCTGCTCAGGCCTCACAGGCTGAAACCACGGCATACACTGGGGCTGCTACCTCATCTCATGCATGGGATCCTCCTCAAGCTCACTGGCTATCAGCAGAATTCAGTACCTTGCCATTGTAGGACTGAAGTCCTCAGTGTCTAGAGGCCACCTGCCAGTCCCTCCCATGTGTCCTGTCCACAACACAGCAGTTTGCTTCTTCAAAACCAACAGGGGAGAGTTCCCGCAAGATGGCGGACTAGGCACAAGGACTGCACAGACGCTCTTCAACAAAGAAGAGGGAAACCAATTAACACAGACACAGAAGATAATCTTGGACCCCTGAGCCTTGAAGGGAAGGATACATAAGTGGACTAAACCCCAACTAGCAGAAGAATTTG